GGGGGGGGGGGGGGGGAGTTCGTTGACTGGATGGACTATCTGCTGTAATTCCCTTGGTGTAAGAATTTTGATTCCTTCATGGAGCACATCTATTGTAGAGTTGCTTTAGCTAACTGGCCACGAGACTAAAGGAGAAGGCACATATTCCACATTGGGGTTTCTAAGGATAAAGGAAACTGACTAAAATCAGCCCAAGTTCAGAATTTGGTCAGCCTCCCTTGGCGTTCAAGAACCTTCAAAAGTCAATCTGAGCCTGTTACCAGATCACAAATTTTCACAATAATAATTCTTCATTTAGTCTGAGGAATCTCTCCCAAGAAATTACTCCTAACATGCCCTCCCAATATCATCCACAAAGATATACCCTTCATACATCAGTTTACCTCATAAATCATGAACACTAATACCAAAAAAACCCTATAATTATCATATTCCTCTTCATAAGTCGTTAACAGATTGAACAAACTCAGCTTGAGGAAAATCACTTCACCAAACGTGACATGTCTTAATTTAGGCAGACAAATCTCTCCCAAAAAATTACTCCTAACATGTCCTTCCACCATCATCCACAAAGATACATCATTCACACATCAGCTTGCCTCATTAATCATGAAGTCATTAACAGATTGAACAAACTCAACTTGAGCAAGATAAAGTCACCAAACGTGACATCTAATTTAGCCCGAGGAATCCCTCCCAGGAAAAGACTCCTAACGTTTTCCCACCACCATCCACAAAAATACATCCTTCATACCTCAGCTCACCTCACAAATCCTGAAGACTCATGTCACAAAACCCTATAATTCCAGGTCGTCTACACATGGACGACTTTCGGCCTCTGGTCCTCAGACTACGCCTTCGCCCAAGAATACGATCACGAAGATCACTTCGAGAATGACGACAAGATGCCGCCCGAGGGCAGCAAGCCTCCTCCCTTCGACCCTCGGGTCATCATAAACCGAACGAAACCTACTCCCTGCGACCAAGAGGTCGACCTCTACCTCCTCCGAAACTCCTCGTCCCGTGTTTACGACATAAACTTCAACTCCAGCAAGGGCTGCGACAGGCCCTACGTCGTCCAGCCCGTGGACTTCAGCAATATGCTTCTTGTCGTCGTCTACGTCGACTGTCCTGGCACAGCTGACTTCAAGGTCACTGTCATACCTGAGGAGATCAACTATCCGAATGCCTCGCTGGCGTGTCAGAAGGCTAGCGATGGCCTCAAGAGAAGAAGGCCCAGCTCCTGCATACGAAGCCATCCAAGGGAGAGTGAAATCAAGGACAGATGTGGCAGGGCCACAAGTGTCGAACTGAATTCAGCCCTTTTTCTACTCATTGCGTTGTCCATACTCATGGCAATTCGTAATTAATATTTTTTACTGTGGCTGACTACAGGGGATTGTTGCATCAACGACTGAGAATACGTTGCGATATGTTCAGAGCTGATGTCAAAATGATTAATGATTGTTTATCTTCCATTGTTCTGATGCAGGGAGTGATTGAACATTGGTGCATAATTCGTGTACAGTGAGTGTATGATAATGTTAAGAGCGAGGATCAATTGATTATGATGATCTTTTGGTACTCTGTCATTTTAATTTTTGATTCTGAATTTGAGACGCTGTTTGGAGATAACATATGGTGGAGTATTGAACAAATTGGAAACCTGAAATAATCGAAAATCTGAAAATAATGGACCACTTGTGCATGAGATATACTATTACGGAAATTATGTACAGGATTTTAAATCTGATATCGGTAGGTGAATTCTACTCAATCTTTATTCATTTGTATATTCATTATCTCTGTCATTTTGTTTGATGATCAGTGTGGAAATCGAATAGATTCAATCCATGATTATCGAAAATCTTAGATAGAATTTTATAGCAACTATTCGGAGATTATAATGTTCGTAATTACGTTATCACGTTCATAATTTCGCTTTGTACATTCATCTGTTTAATATACATTATTGTAATCGAGTAAAATTAATTAACGTTAATTTTGTAAATTGATGTAAGATAATAATGGGATAATGAAGTGTAAAGATTGTGTGCCTTTCGTTGAATTGTATGGCACGCGGTTATAAACTAAAATCTTGTTGTATGTTTTTCAAATAAATTATGGAATCCTACTGTTCCAAACTCGTTTGATACTGTGACGTATTGGAATCGAGCAATATCATTTGGACACCGTGGTAAGCAGTCCCACGGTTTTTCAGGAGTCCAGTGCAGAACGATGAACTGTTTGACTGTTTGAGTCTCTGTCAATGACAATTGTCATGTTTACAGGCCCTAGCACACCATTTCTCGACCCGCTCTTTCATTTGAGCCCAATAAAACATTCGGAATTTCAAGGAATAACCAATCCTATACAGGGCAGTAATTGCAGTGGAGAGTACTTTTTCTAATCAGCAGATGGCGCGTAAAGCGTTGGAAATTTTGGTCAAATGTGTATGCTATCAGCAGTGTCTATGAGCATGATAGAATGTTTCCATACCATTATTATTTATTTATATTTTATGGGATTTTGTACGTGAAAAGTATTCTAAGAGAATTAGAATTTAGAGAGAAAAAATTTCCGCTTCACCCAGCCGGGAATCGAACCCGGGTCTCCCAGATAATACGGCTTATCGGGATCCGGCGGATCCCGACGTGAAAAGTACAAAATCCATAAACCACGGGAACCTGCAATACCGACAGGGGGACCCTTAACCTCTGCGTGGGGCGGGTTCCGTTACCCCTTAATCGGTCGGATAATATCCATCCGTCGGTATCTTACCGACGTATAGAATGCGTCCGGTAATTGGCTTCTTCCGAGAATTTTATTCACAGAAAATGACCCTCCGCAATGAAACCACAGAAAAATCCCAAAGAGATGTCGACACCCGCTCCAAACCTCGCGGCACAAGTTGCTAAGCAACGAAAAACTCACGCGAAAGTAGCGGCGCCCCCGCCCCCCTGATATGTCGAATTAATATACCCGCGCGATCCAAGAATATCTTTTCTCTCCCCCTCTTCGGGGGCCGCCGCCTAGCATTTTCAGCACAGCAGGGAGAATCCGTATGCTTCTCCACTGCCACGGCAACGTTACTCGTTGAATTACCGTCCCGTCGCGTCTCAAACGAGAGTCGCGTGCGTTTTTTTACATTTTTTTTTCTCTTCACTCCAGCGACTCCAGAGGGGGGGGACGGGCGATACGAGAGGGGGCTCGTGGTGACTTTCATGAGTTTTTCGATATTATTTTCCACGGCTGGAAAAATCAGTGCGCCTGGAACCAGTGGGGCATCGAGACTCGATTCGTTAAACTCGACTTTTCAAAACGATCTTTCGATATCAGTGGTAAACCGGTTTTCGCGGGTGCAGCCGGAATTTTATGCATACCTAGGCGATTCAACAGTGAAAGATAGCAAAGTGTAATTGGAGTTTGTGGAGTTTTTTAAAATTTTGTTCTTGTTTTTGTTGGTGTTTGGAAGTGTGTCGTTGTTAAAATCACGGGAGAATGGATGAGGAGCACGAGATCGACGGGGTCAAATCGACCATCAAGAGGCTGGGGTCCACACGGAAATTGCTTGTTTTCAACAGTGAGTTTTGATTTTTGTTCTTTCGAGGGGAGAGTTTTTGATGGAGTAAATTAAAATTTTTTGTAGCGATTTTGATACATCGGGTGATGGAAAAATAATTGAGTCGACTCTATTCAAGTTTCGGTTTTTCGCGAATAGCTTCGAATCTAAGACAGATGGCGAAATTTTCGTTGGAAATAATTTGTAGAGGAGATAATTTACAGCAAAAAAGGATTTACGACATTTTCTCTTAAAGCCACTTCTTATTGAGATAATCCTCTTCTTCGTATTCAACAAATTGTGAAAAATTGGGAAACGCAATTGATCCACTCAATTTTCGGAGTCAGTTTTTGCTGAATATCTCGTGATCTAAAAGAGATGGCGAAATTTTTGTCGGAAACAATTTGTAGAGGAGAAAATTTCCAGCAAAAATTGTCTTATAAGATTTTTTTCTAAAATTACTTCTTATCAAGATAAATCCCTTTTCCATATTCAACAAACTGAAAAATTGGAAAACGCAATTGATGAACTCAATTTTCGGAGTCAGTTTTTGCTGAATATCTCGTGATCTAAAAGAAATGGCAAAATTTTTGTTTCCACCTTTTTTGTAGTTCTTGAAATTCTCTACAAAAAAGTTATTGGCAACTACTACGCTATCTCCCTCCCCTTCCCCTCCATCCCGTCCCCAACAAAAAACTTGATTGATTCTTTTCAATTATTTCTGAAATCTATATCTCCGAATGAAGAAAGAAGCATTCAATTAATTATAAAGTGTTCAAAATACCCCAATACATGATCAAAAGATCTTTAAAGAAGGCATTCATTATTATTCATTCATTAGAACATTCATTCCCCCTGATTGCACCACGAAAAATAAGAGAGTGATATTTTCCACTCGATCAAACAGAAACCATCGCCCAAAAAAATATGATTTTGCATCCCCGAGTGTTTCCTTTCAACGTCACTCAAAAAACAAGTACTCGCATTTGCTCCATCACAATCACCGAATATTATTTGATTGACGCGTGATTAGAATAAATGTCTCTCCTTGATTTATTCCCGTGTGACCCATTTGTGCTCGCAGGGGTATAAAACTGCCTCGTCCCCTTGAATAGTTTTTACGATAATTCAGATCTAAATTCGGTTGGATTATTATACAGACTGAATCTGTATTTATTTCGTGACGAGTGCTTTCGCAGATGATCGTTGACCCCCCCCCCCCGCCCGCCCCTCGAGAAGCCCTAAACAAACCCCAGTATTCGTCATCATGCCCTTTGGAAGAAGTAAAAATCTCCAGAATTTTGGGCGTCAGATAAGATCGATTGTTGGAGTATTTATCTAAAGATGAATCGATGCTTTCACAATTTATATAATTAATTATATAATTAATTTCCCAAGTTATTCATCCATCCATTTCTCCCCCCATTTTCCAACTTGATTTGTTTGTTATTTATTCTGTTACTTATCAATTTAACATTCATCTTGGACCTCGAATAAGATCAATTGTCCAACTACCTCTCCCTAAGACCAGTGTTTTGAAAACAAAATTCAAACAAAATGACGCTGAGAAAAGATCAAAGATAAATATTTTTAGCCGTTACAGCTTCCGAAATCATGTCAAACTTTAATGCCTCACCTGCCTTGATTTACGGTTTCATCTAAACGTCTGATGAATTTATCGTTCCCCAAATTACGAATGCCTCCCATAATATTAACAGTAATTAATAAAATCGAAGAGGCAACGCAGGCCGAGAATTTTAACAGCCACAAAGTCGCCAGCTGGCACGAACAAGGGCTCCGAAAAAGGTACTGTTTACACCTTTCAAAATGATAATTTGAGATAGCGGCCTGAAACGCCATTGGCCGTGAAACTGGCAGGTGCAATTTGTTTGTCGAAGTGTCATTCCGTAGAGACTGGCAAACTACCAAAAGACACATCCTGGATTTTCTCGGCTAGAATACAAATTGATGGAGACGATAAAAAAACTCTAGAGGAATATGTTACTTGGAACTATTTCAGGTGTTTCGTCTGTATTTCTCCGGCAGGGGAAACGGAAGGGAAGTCTCATTGTTCTCGAGCCCTGATTCAACCCCTGAACGCGAAAATTTTCAATTTTCAAATAACTATTTCTGTGTGCATTTTAATATTTCTTGAACATTAATTTTTTTTTGTCAGATTGATTTTTTTCCCATCACCTACGAGTGTCAAATTATTTTTATTGCATGTTTTTATAATTATTGAAACAATATTGAAATTCATCAGAGACATGGCAATGCCGCACGGATCATTCCTGTGGTTATTTCGAGTTGGTAAACCTGACGAGTGTTTTCTCTCTCTCAGTTTCATGGTCTAACCTATACCTCTCTCTCATTCGAATTGCGCGCCACTCACGGTGAAGGCGTTATTGCCACACGTGAGCCTCAATGGATAGAATTTGCCCCGAAACTCATAATTTCCCGTGTCATTTTTTCAAATAACTTTCTCAGGAAAGCTTGAAAAATTCTGGAACTCATACGTACTTTCAAGCAAGATTTAATTTATCACCCACTAGTTTTTTTTTAACAGTTCATTATTTTTTTGGGAGATATGAAAATTTCCCTGATTGAGAGTGAGGTAACCTCGGCCTTATAGCTGGAGGGGTTACAAGAAAATCCAAATTTTATCATTTTTTTTCTTGAGGTCGAGATCTAAAAAAGAATCGAAAAAATTCCCAATGATGCAGCAGATTCACATGTTTCTCCCCCGAATTTTTCGTTATTGTGACTTCACACGAAACACTTCAACACATTTTCAACGAGAAAATGTAATATTTACATTCAGAGAAATTATGTATTTCAATCGAATAAAACTCCTTTTATTCATTCTCTCATTTTTTTCTCATTGATTGCATTTTACTTTATTAAAAAAAATTTCTTATTCATTTCCGCTAAAACGTTTTAATTATATAAAAAAAATAATCAAAATATTCTAAATAAATCATTTATCGGAATCGAATGAACGATTTGGTTGATTATAATGGAATTTATTCAGTCCAATTGAACCATTTCTCTGGGTTTGTAGAGACAGAGACAAGAGTCTGAGTATCGATTCCACTCCGACGATTCTATCTTTAAAGGAGTTGTAAAAAATTCATTGGATATGTCCAGACTAGAGAAGTGGAATTCTGTTCAATAATTCAATTCAACAAAATAATGTAAAATAATAAACGATATACGATAGACGAAAATGATTAATTTATTAACAAAAATAGTAACCCTATACGAAGACAAAAGCAATATCCCACTTGTCTTTTTTTCAATAAGTGTTATCGATTTTGGAAAATGGGAGAGATTTATTCAACAAAATGTCGCTCGATTGTGTGACATAAGCCTGAATCCAAATGATTGGATGATCTGAACTGAAATGATGAGAGCCCTCGATGAACTTGGCTACAAAAACCAATCCTATTATTGTCCCTCGCATCTCCTTTGAAGGGTCTAAAAATAGAAGGCTTGCGATAGAATATTCAAATGTATACTACACGACTCGGCGAGAACGTATACGGAGAGACAAGAAATGATGTTTGCAAATG